GCTTACAGGACCCCTCCGAGCTAAAGCTTGAAAAGGTTGGTGTTTTCTCTACAGCAGGGCAATTAGCCCACCCCCACCATTTCCCGATCCCACCCTCTCTCTACAGGGCCTAGGCTTGGGCTTAGGTAGTCCTGGTCTTATTCACTACCTACTAACCAGAGTCACGTTGACTGACGTTAACGCAATGGATTCCGTCACCACTCTCATTCTCATTCACGTTCTGAGGAATTTCTGGCCTGACCCGGCTTCCATTCTGCCGCTCTCTATGCATTTTGCTCGCTTGCTTGGCACCCGCGGCTCCACGCCTTGGCTTGGCCGCCGTGCTCGGCCCAGCCCAGCCCAGGATGACCGGCACTGGTAGTAAAGGCCCAGTCTCCAGTGGGCTAGCTAGTTGTGTTCTTCCCGGCTCAGTATAGTAGTGTCTCCATCATGGATGGTTTTTTATGTATCATGGCTCCATCGCAAATGTACCTCCCCAAGTATGTACGTACGAGCTTGACGAGGTTGTATTAGCCATGGAGAACCTCCCTGTACTCGTATCCGCCTCCTCCATGTACATACCTAAAGAGGCGTGTCCAGCGCCAGTAGGCGTCTCGTCATGTAATGCAGTGTACCTCGCTCGACTACAGCTTCGCCGTGAGCTTGTATGTACTTGCTTGCTTGCTTCTTTTGAGGGTCTGTAGCTTAGTTTGACTCCGAATAAGACTATGGCACGCAATATGGGACCAAGGAAATAGCTTGTAGATCCCATCCCCGTCTGAACTACAAAATGCCATATCTCCCCCATCTCTCGGAACTACTCCGTTCTTCTGTTCTTTCTATCTTCATTGACGAAGCTTCTCCAAAGCCTCGGCGGTACTACCTAAAGCTCTTTTAACATCTCTCTTCAGAGTTAGACCCTGATAGTGTCACTTTTGCCCCTACCACAATCCGGACATTGGAAGCTTGATTCGACCGTTTATCCATTATATGAAGCTCATCTGCATCAATTCCCCAATCCGTGCACCATATTGACCAGATTGGGTGATACCTGGTTCTCGAGAAGGAACAAGAGCTTCTGCAAACCGGATTTATTCCTCATAGTCTCCCATTCACTTGGTGGACCTCTTCCCGGTTTCTCACACGTCACGACTTTGAATTCGCCAAATCTCATAGACACAAAGTTTGTGCTATAAAATTTGGTCTGCATTCAAAGATTCTATTACAATTCTAGACCTATACCCCTCTTCCACAGCAATCAGTCATCATGTCACCCCACAGCGAGGTTTCATTCAATGGCTCCGAGGCCCCGGTCTCCAACGGTACCACCAACGGTACCACCAACGGTACTACCAACGGTCACAACGGCACAAATGGCACCAACGGTATTACTAACGGCCACAACGGTCATGTCAACGGCACCAGCACCAGCAATGGAAACGGAGCTGCCCCTGCTGCCCGTCATGGACCCCGAGTTCACAAGGAGAGATCTCCTTATCTCGAGTCAGCTCCCGCGGATTCTGAGTTTGACCTCATCTGCGCTGGTTTCGGCCCCGCATCTTTGGCTGTAGCCGTCGCTATTCACGATGCCATCGCCGAGGGCAAGAAGCTTCGCCCTGATGGCGCAGCTCCCAAGGTTCTCTTCCTGGAAAAGCAGACCAAGTTCGCTTGGCACGCCGGTATGCTGCTCCCTGGAGCCAAGATGCAAATCTCCTTCATCAAGGATCTAGCCACTCTTCGCAACCCCCGATCTGAGTTTACCTTCCTTAACTACCTCCACCGTCAGGGTCGTCTCGTTGACTTTACCAACTTGAGCACTTTCCTCCCTGCCCGCACTGAATACGAGGACTACCTTCGCTGGTGCTCTTCTTGGTTTGACCATGTTGTTAGCTACAACAACGAGGTTCTCTCTATCTCCCCCGAGAGCAAGGAGGCCGGTGCCGTCAAGACTTTCACCGTTCAGGCTCGCAATGGCAAGACTGGCCAGGTCCAGTCTTTCCGCAGCCGTCACGTTCTTGTTGCTGCTGGTGGCCAGCCTTCGCTCCCCAAGAGCCTCCCTGCTAAGCACCCTCGTGTCCTGCACTCTTCCCAATTCGCCAACTACGCCCCTCAGATCCTAGCCAAGCAGAACGCTCCTTACCGCGTTGCTGTCATCGGTGCCGGGCAGAGTGCCGCCGAGATCTTCAACAACGTCCAGAGCCTGTACCCCAACTCCAAAACATACCTCATCATGCGCCAGGAGTTCCTGCGCCCCAGTGATGACTCTCCATTGTAAGTTGTGCACAGTTGTCCGTTATAGGAACCTCTGCTGACCATGACCTACAGCGTCAACTCCATCTTCAACCCCGAGTACATTGACAACCTGTGGCCACGATCTGTCAAGGCTCGCGAGACTCTTTTGACTGAGGCTCGCGCCACCAACTACGGTGTTGTTCGTCTGGAGCTTATTGAGCACCTCTTCGAGAAGATGTATGACCAGAAGCGTGAGATCAGTGACGACGAGACACAGTGGCCCCACAGAATTCTCGCTGGCCGTGAGATTGCCAGCGTCGACACCAAGGGCGACGCTCTCGAGATCAAGGTTCAACGCGTCAACGATGGCCCCCTCGATGGCTTCGTCGACCAGGAGACTTTTGAAGTTGATCTGATCGTTGCTGCCACCGGTTACAAGCGAAGCGCTCACGTCGATATGCTCAAGGACGCATGGACAATGCTCCCCAAGACCGTATCGGGACGCAACGAGTCTCCCAAGGGAGTCAACGGCTGGAACGTCCAGACACAAGATGGCGAGCGTAAGCTGGCCGTCGGAAGGGATTACCGAGTCAAGTTCTCCCCTGGCACTGTTGCCGACGACTCTGGCGTCTGGCTGCAGGGCTGCTGCGAGGGTACTCACGGGGTAAGTGATCCACCGTGAATTGACCATGTTCATTCGATAGACACTAACATTGTATCTAGCTGAGCGACACCCTCCTCTCCGTCCTGGGCACTCGCTCAGGCGAGATTGTTCAATCTATCTTCAAGCAATAAATGTTATGACAGCACGAATGAATGGATACCTACGTTTGTAATGGGTTTTGCAAGGGCAGCGAAAATAGCTGACTGGACGACAAAGAGCCGTCTTGCCGCTTAAGTCATTTTTTATTTATTTACTATATCCTCTGTTATTTGTCATTTTCTATCGCCATTATCATTTACAGTACATACTGCGAATTAGGAGACAAAAGTTGGGTTTCATTTATTCCTTTTGGTGTTCTGTAGATTTTGTTAGAGCCCCACCACGGCATTGAAAAAAGAAAAGTTACAATCTCCAATGTTCATTCTCTGTGTGCCATGCATCCATTGTCACATCTCAGCTCAGTATCGATGCTGCTCTTGACAGGAGCTTGCAACTCTCCATTTTTGGTATGTCTCCTTAAGCTTACTCCAGTTGCCACATTTCCAACGCACTGTTACGGGCCGCTCCTCGGGAACTGCGCCTAATATGAAGGGCTTAACATGGCCCGATATAAGTCGGCATCACGCTGCATGTCGCCCATTTCACGAATGCCAGTCTACCGACTGCCCGTTTTGTTCTTTCTGATTTTCAGTGATACTCCCTCGTGGGCTAGTTGCCGTAAGATTCAGTACTCGGGATGACTTCATAAGTCTTGGCCAGCACTGCACCAAGTGTTGTTATTGACCGTTAAACGTAGTATCTCCGTTACACCAAACGGAGTGAGCCTCTGCAATTGGCAATAACGATGGGAATCGCCCAGCCGGCAATGTCATCTTTTAGGCAGAGCTATCAGGACTGTATGGAAGCGCATGACCTGCTTGTGCTTGAACGGGCCTCTTACAGTTTGCTCCGGCCCCCCATGCTTCCACTTCAGATTGACAAAGTGACTCGCTGGTGTTGAGTCATTATTTCATATCTCGGAAAGACCGTTGTAAAAGTTTCACGCTGCCGAGATGCCATGCAGAGGCGGGCCGGTCATCCCAAGCATTTGGCTACACACCCACTTGCTGAGAAACATATTCTCTTCCGTTCTGGTCTACGACGTCGTATAGTTGCCCACAGATGCAAGACAGACTAGCAATTTAAAGAAAACTGCAAAGAATATATGCCAAGATCTTTCATAACAAGGGTCGTCGTTTTTTTCTTCTTTTCTTTTTGGCACGCATAAAGAGGTTTAAGCATGGATGTAAGGAATGCGCCAAAGGCAGAGCCCAACAACATCGCTGCTACATACTGACACAACGAGTTCCCCTATTGAGTTTTGTGCAGGAGGTAAAGAGTTTTGCTTGTGTAAGCAATCAACGGTCGAGTCTCGAGATGAAGCTGACAAGGTTGCAAGCCCTTGTCAAAGCGACGTTGTTCCGTCTTATTCCATGCAGCTTAAGGAGTACTAACTACCTCGGCTTAGCGTTGGAGTTATTCAAACAGAGATCAACCATGTGTCAGCATGCGCATTGATAATACCTACCTACATACTCCGTACACACACTCGCAGCGGGCATACCAACCGAGGGGTCTGAGAGTGTCTTTCTTTGCAGGGAAAAGCCGTGAATAGAACGAAGTTAAAACCAGAGTCGAGTCTGTGCAGGCCTTGTTGCTCGGGCCATTGCCGCAGGCAGAGCAGAGCGGAGCGGAGCGCGACAGTCGGAATTAGGTAGTGTGCAGGGTTCAACGAACCGTGCCGCAAGCGAGGCGATCCAAGTCGAGGTGATATTTTATGGCGATATGAACTCTCCATAATTGATTGACTGATTCCGGCTTCCCTCCCAAATTTCCGCACCAACGGCGGTTGAATATTATGAGAATCCTTTCGGGTGGGGGACATCGACATCGACATCCAATGCAATCCAATCTTTTCTGAGCGACGGGCCCCTAAAGTGGTACTGTACTAACCTGGCACTGGCACTGGTAGCAGCACTCTTGCTTGGTAGCTTCTTAGCAGGCAGGGGCTGACTGGTTCTCAGTCTCTGAGAGTAAACGACGAGTGTTCTCCTCTTGGAAACGGAAACTCACGAACGACTAAGCCATGAAGCAGCCCGACGACTCTGGCCCAACTGCAACTGGACCACAATCGGCTCGACCTCGGGCTTCCCTCTCTGTTTCTGCCTCTGCCTCCCATAATCCGCGACGGCTTCCTGTCAATCCCCGCCGGCACAAGGTTGCTCCCGAGCATCGCAAGCGTGTCGCTACAGCGTAAGTTGATTAGTTTCCATGTGTCTACCCGTCTACAGTACCACACTACTGTCGCTGTCTATTCAATCTGTATATCCTGCGATCGGTTTGTTTATATCGATCTTCTTTTTATGTACCATCTATCGATGCATCAATTTCACTTCAATTATACTCAACTATTCCTGCGTTTCGGCAGACGTACGTCAAGCTTGACTGAGGTTACCCCCTCAAGTCACTGACTTACAGTCATATCATCATAAAAGAAGCTCACGTCTTTATCTAACACACGTCTCGCTGAAAAGGTGCAATGCTTGCAATGTGAGAAGAGTCAGATGCTCTGGTGAGCACCCGTGTCGCCAATGCCAATCCTCTTCACGCGATTGCATATACCCTCTACCTGTTGAGAAGGTGAGCATCACGCGCTCAGAGCTCGAGGATTTGAAACACAAGGTCGAGCTCTATGAACGTGTTCTTCGAGATACTGTCCCAGCAGCTGTATCAAACGCCGTCCCGGATTCTGCAAGCCGCCAAGAACTTTCAGATTTGCTTGGTTGGACCGCCTCTAACCATGAAATTGGATCATCGGCCGTTAGTCTAGCGGCACAGACAACGCCAACGATAGATGCAACAACGCATATCGGGCGAGTGCCTCCTGAGCTTCCTCAGCTCCAGTATCCCAGTATACATCGACAATTCCAGCAACAGCCGCCTCATCTTCATCTCCAACCTCAGCTATCAGACACTCGAATACAGGAACCCAGCTATGGATTATCTCGAACACATTCTATCCAGCTCTCACATCCCGGGGCGACGCCTCAAAATCGGCAGGATGACGAGGAGAACTTGGTCTCAACCGAGGGTCGCCTTTTACATGACCCTGACGGCTATGCTCGTTTTCTGGGTGAGACCAGCGGCGCAACTTTCCTCGACTACTTGAAGGAATTCATGACTACAGTTCTGCCTCTTGCGTATCAAAATCTGCGTCCAGGTTCTGACGGAAGTGCGTTTTTATCAAGTCTTGGTCGTTACCAGACCTACGACTCGCGACCTTTGCATGATCGAGACGTTGACCCGACATGGTTTCCTACACCCTCAGAGATGGACTCAATGTTGTCCGAGCTTCGTTACTTCATCCAAGACGGTAACTGCCAATGGCCAAGTGGAGGAATCTACTGGTGGGGGGATCTCTCTTCAACACCGACAGTACCATCCATGGAACGAGACTCGGTAAACTTACGTCTCACCAAATGCCGTCACTTGGCTTTCTATCAGACTGCATTTGCTGTGGTATCTCAAGCCATGATCATGCCGCCTCAGGATATCTCTATAGACCCTCATCTCAGTGAGAACTACTTCAGTCGGGCCCGTATGCTCCTCGGGAACCCGCTTGACATTACACGCTTTACGCCCAACGAAGTATCGGTATTGACATTAATGGGGTTCTACCTGATAGAGATGAACCGCCGTGATGCCGCATATATTTGCGTGAGCAACGCTATGCACATCAGCATCATGCACGGCGCACATAGGGGCTGGCTTGACGAGAGTGGCAAACGCGTATTCTGGACGCTTTATGTACTGGATCGCTATTTAAGCTGCCTCATGGGGAGACCCCCGACCATCATGGACGACGCAATTCGGTTACCCCTTCCTTGCGATGCTCCGTAGGTATCCCTGTTTGTCTGCCCCCCCGCTCTGGCTAACTTCATTCGATAGGTCTATGCCTCCAGCAGATGGTCTCAAAGCTCATGTCGAGCTTTCGAGGATATCATGCCATATCGTGTGCAATACGTATCGCATTTCCCCCTCAGAAGACGCCGTAAGACCTGTGAGAAGCCTCGAAGGGGAGATCAGTATGCTCGACGAGTGGTGTCTAAAACTCCCACCTACAGTGCAGCTCGCAAGTAACGGGTTGAGCGATGACCCAGCCACTTGCTTGCTGCACATGCACTACAACCAGGCAATTTCTCCATTTCCCAATGTCTTTCAAGGCTAGACTAACATGTCCCTTAGTTAATAATCTTGACTATCCGACCCGTTTTCTTCGCCTTGGTTAAAAAATCATTCGCGGAAAAGCTGGTCTCGCGACAGTGTTCCTTGAGTTCACATCCGCAACTCCCTCTACTAAAGCGATGCATATCATCAGCAGAACACAATATTCAGCTCGCTCGACAGATTCTACTTGTCAATCATCCTCGAAAGCTGCTCCAAGCCGGTCTTCACTTCATTTTTAACGCTGCCATAGTATTGATGTTACAGCAGCTGGTAGAGGATCTGTGCCCGTCTTCTCGAAGTGAGAAGGCTCGTTCACTTGACCTCGACTTTGTGATTGGGAGGTTCGAGGATGAGAGTCGAGTTGGTAGCAACTACGGCCGGGACTGTGCTACGGTGCTTCGGGATCTTCGCGTTCTTGTGCAGCGTCTTCCTATCCCAGTTGACATGAGCACTGCAACACGTTCCGTCAACATGACACAGACTACGACCACCTACGATCCGATCGCAAATCGATCGCATGTTGACATGGGACAGCAATGGTCAGATAAGCTGACATCAGAGGCACTTCAGCAGCCTATCCTTGTTGATCAGGGCCACATATTATATAATGAGTTGGTTTCGTGGATTGATGTCGATTGGCAATCTAATAATGGGTATCTCATTTGAGTTGGAGTTGGGCGCCCCGTGAGCAACAAAAGTTGGCGACTGACATTGGGCTTTTTATTTACAGAACAAAAGTTGATGCTTTTGAGGTTTAAATCTAATGGGTGTTTGAGAGGCTATCCTAGGGGCATATGAATGTAGGATATGCAGTTACGATGATTTAGGTGTTGATGATGGACAATTAAATGTCCTCTAATGGTAAATGGCCAACGAACGGACTATCGGCCCAAGCGTGGTTCAGATTGGGATTCTCCACGAACATGATCGGATTCAAACATGGAAATAAGAGAGACAAGGGTATTCCTGGTAACTTAATTCATCACTGTCGCTTCTGTCTTGATGTAGGTAATTGAGAAGAGTGACGTGTGACAGTCATGTGATGAAGCATGTGGTAAGGTATTCGCAATCTTCCTTCCTCCCTTCCATTGGGTTTCCATGCGTACCTTAAGGTACCAATTGTCTCACCCACGAAAATCCTACTCGGCATCCTAACGTCTCATCTTTTCCCTTGCCAAATGACCCACGGCATGCACTTGATCTCCCGTTGTCATCTTTGACCGTCCAAGATCTACAGTCTTTCGTCACGAATGGCACCTCTCAAGCACAGAGAGGTCGCGACGAGCTTCATCTTCAGATTCCCCGCTGACGGTGAGGCAAAGAAACCCCAGGTTGCTCTCTTCCGCCGGAGTAGTCACGTAAACACATATCAGTAAGCAAAGTGTATTACCTTATCAGTGAACCCATGCTTACATACTAAGGCACAAATATGCAGGCATTTCTGGAAGTGTAGATGACACTGACGCGGATCCTCTTACCACAGCCTGGAGGGAACTCGCTGAGGAAACAACTCTTACGCATGACTCTTTACGCCTTTTTCGGAAGGGCAAACCATTCTCGTTCGCTGATGAGTCTATTGGAAGAGAGTGGACTGTTAACCCTTTCGGTTTTCTTCTCAAATCCGAGAGCGACGGTGGCTGCGGTGAGGCTGGCATCAAAATTGACTGGGAGCATGAGGGGTACGAATGGTTCGATCCAGATGCAATCAACGATTCAGATGACTTTGAAGGTGTTCCGCGCATCCTAGAGAGTCTTAGAAGGGTATGGCTCAACGTTGACTTGGGCCAAGAGGCAGGCAACACGCTTAGCCGGGGCTTGGTCGCTCTGCAGGAAGATCACGAAAGCGGAGCGCGCCAGCTAGCCACCAAGGCTCTCGATACATACATCGATGTTATGAAGAAAGTCGATTTCACTGACCAAGTTCAGTGGTGGATCAATATCAGGTTTGCGGGATGGCACCTCTGGAAGAACGGGCGAGAAAGTATGGGCGCGTCTATCTTGAACGTTGTTCTATCAGCTTTGGACATAGTTCAAGACGGAATCCCACCCCGCGGCCCACCAGATAAGAGCTCGATCGATAATATCGTCAGAGCCTTGGGGGATTACGCCCGCGACCGGCAGAATACCACTTCAAGAACGGGCGCGGTGTTCCAGACTTTCATAGAGCAGCATCTGTCGGGAGGCGGGCCACTCAAGATCCTTACCCTCTCCTCTAGCTCAACTATCGCCTCGGCCATTACCCACATTATGGGAAATACTTCGCGACCTGTGGAGGTTCATGTGCTCGAATCCCGACCACTCTTCGAAGGTGTCAAGATGGCACAGTCTATTGCTTCATGTGCCAACAATTCCAAGGCTAAGACCCGCTTGGTAATCCACACTGATGCAAGTGTTGGCATCGCAGCGAAGGACATAGATATTGTGCTCATCGGAGCGGATCTGATCGACAAAACAGCCGCGGTTAGCAACAAAGTCGGTTCTCTGCCTGCTGTTCTGACAGCCAAGTACGTGTCTCAAAAAGCCAAGATTATCGTTTTGTCAGAGAAAGAGAAGGTGCTCCCTTTTGCACCGCCAGGTCAGGAGGAAAACGATGCATGCGAGGTTATGCAAGCTTGGGGAGACTTCAGCTCAGCTGTGAGGGAGGTTCCCCACTCTCTGGTCACTGTCAAAAACGTGTACTTCGAGTGGGTGTCACCCGATTTGATCGATCACTACATCACTGAGGACGGCGTCACGGGTCGTGCGGGAATATCGAACTATGCCCAGGAAGTTGAGAAGAAGGCTGACCAATATTTTACCAATCTCTGATGCCAAAATCCGAGTGAGACGATCTGTAGCATGGTCCTTAAACCCGACAATCTGGAGAGTTACATTACCTCTTTCACGACACAACCAATAGCAGTAGCATATGGCACCTTGGTGCCTCTGGGTGCCTTGGAACGTCTGACGGAGGCTCGGATTCACAATATCGAAATATGACCGAATCAGTATAGCTGTGGGGGTTGTCTTACATCGCCTGCCAAGTTAGAGGCTTTGATTCCTTATGCAATCTCTCCTGCCCAGTGTATCTGCCTTCGGAGAGGTTTCTCAATCGCCATCAATGGGGATGGTGGATGTGCACCTTGCCACTCACTTGGAGTGCCTGTTCAGGCATTGGAAACTTTACTTCAGCTCACCAGAGGGACCAACGTTCGACATGAGAATATTGTAACCCCTTTTGCTCGAGGCGTTATTCTAGAACGTTCATTCAAGCCACCCATAAGCCCTTGCTGCAATCAAGGCGTATCGACAGAGCGCCAAGTGTGGAACAATACGTTCTCAGTAAGCAGCGCGAAGGATCCTGGATTCTGGGGTATATGTCAGCCTTACAGCCCTAACGACACAGCCCACGACTTGCGAACTTGATCATCAGCAACATGATTTGCTCATCGCGGCAAACTTGGAATTCCATCCCTGGTTTGCGCATAATTGTGGAGGCACTTGTCGATTCGTTCTATGAGTACCCGCTCCTTGGTAATGAGTCAATATGGGCCTCCTTAGCTCAATTCCCGCTACTTTTCGACCCCAATACAGCCATCCACCACGCTTAACGTGCTTTCCACGGGCTAAAGATGCGGTCAGTTTGTGTCCCGACGCTCAGGCAACCTTGATCGAGGTTACAGTAGTGGCGTTGAGCATCTGCCTATTCGAGGCACTTCCTGTCAGCCTCAATCCCGAGCGTCTGGTCTGCCGTCAGATTCTTACTTCATGATAGGCCAACAGCAAACCTTGATTTATATACGACCGTGACAAACAGAATGACGTCCGGATCGGGCCTACACATGGATCACGCTTACCAGATTCTTGGGACAACGGCTGGAAGTCGGATCATTGGTCTGACCCCCAATTAATCCCTGGGTCTTAGGAATAGATGCGGAGATATCATCAAGAGCCTCCAGGTGTGTATGTTTGGGAGACCTGTGCAAGCGAGAGTTGCCTGCCAAACGCGTGCCTATATGAACCCAGCAACGACGCCAATATACTGCTCGTAACATTATATCACAAGGAATTTGCCTGTCTTCTCCTTTTTCAGGAGAAAAACAAACTACTTACAGCCACATCTGAATCAGAAGCAGCCATGTCCGATCGGGAAGCCCTCCAGCCGAACAAGTCGAGCAAGACTCCATCGAGCCATCCCGCTGCCTACTCAGTCGAGCAGAACAAAGAGAGAAGCCGGGCGCTCAATCAGAAGCTCGATTTTGCGTTGCTTCCACTTCTTTCACTTCTATATCTATTCAATGGTCTAGATCGTGGCAACGTTGGTAATGCCGAAACACAAGGTGAACAACATCCTAGTCCCCCGCCTCTTGTACGTGCTCGATCGGTTATTGACAGCTTGTTACCAGGTTTTACCACAGACATAGGGGCTGAGCCTGATGATTTGAATGAAGCGGTCTCTCTATTCTTCGTCACTTTTGTTGTCTTGCAGCCCGTTTCTGCCGCAGCTGGCCGTTATATTGGTGCTAAGCATTGGATCCCTTTTTTAATGGTAATTAGACGGTGCCCCGACTAAGAGCAGGAAGTTACTGACACATTCTACAGTTTGGCTGGGGTGTAGTGACAATTGGTCAAGCTTTCATCAAAGGACGTGGTCTGTAGTCCTTCCGTTCGCTCCCACATCTAGTCAACCCTTTTCTGACCTTACTCTAGGGGCACTCATCGCCACACGTTTGCTCATTGGTGCTTTTGAAGCGGGCTTCTATCCCACGGCCGTAGCGTATTTGTCATTCTTCTATCCTCGTTACGACTTTTGTGTTAGACTCGCTCTATTCTACGGACAGTATGCCATCGCTGGAGCCTTCTCAGGTTCGATCTGTAAGTTCTGGTTGTAACAATTCTTCAAGCTAATTACTGACTCCTTCAAGCATACGGCATTTTCCATCTCCGTAGTGGTGGCCTCAAGAACTGGCAATATCTCTTCCTCATCGAGGGAGCACTGACATGCTTCTTTGCTATCGTTGCTTGGCTATGGCTACCTAGAGGTCCTGGCTCTGCATGGTTTCTTCGTCCAGATGAACGAGAGTTTGCTGTCGAACGCATGAAGCAAGACAACGCCGAGTTCGTACAGCATGAGTACAGCGAAGATGGTATTGAAGAGAACCGCTTGAGCAAGAGAGATTTTGTGGAAACGATGAAAGACTGGAAGCTATGGACTGTCCTTCTGCTCAACATCTGCGCCAGTGTCCCCAGCGGTGCATTCTCGGTTTTCCTGCCCCTCGTTGTTCAGGGGCTGGGTTATGAGTCTATCCTTGCCAACCTGGTGTGTTTTATTTCCTCTTCTCCCCAACTGGGCTTGACTGACTGCGAGTGATCTAGATGACAGTTCCGCCCTTCGTCTGTGGTGCTCTCGGCCTGTACGCCTTTGCGCTAAGTTCGGATCACTTTAAGGAACGGGGATATCACATCTTGGGCGGCTTGGTTATTGGTATCATTGGCCTGATCCTTACCGTTACAATATCTTCGAGTACCGGGCAGTACGTTTCGCTTTGTGTGCTCCTATCTGGTGTATACATTTCGGCTCCTCTCACCATGGCATGGCTCAGTGGCAACACGCCTGAGCCTGGCAAGCGAGCTCTTGTGCTTGGCGTCAATGGTTTCGGTAACCTCGGAGGCGTGATCGGGGCGCAGTTGTACCGACAACGATACAAGCCCCATTACAGATTTCCATTTTACGTCACGCTAGGTTTCCTTGCCATTGCTTTGGTCGGATATTTGTCTTATCGATTCATGCTTGTAGCGGTCAACAAACGCAAGCAGACGATATTGAGCACCATGTCACCAGAGGAGATCGAGAGTGAGAGACTCAACGACCGCCGATACGCAGACAAGAAGTTGACTTTCATGTATGGCCTGTGATCGTCTATATAAACACGAACCGAGCACACTTGGTCGCTAGAATTAGAATAGTAGATAGATGCGTATGCAGATACAAGATCTGTTTTTCCCCGATATCATGGTTCCTTTTCTGCAACCTTCATGCTGGCCAACTGGCTCTGCAATCCTTGCTTTCCTACCTTCATGGCCATCTCCAACTCCCTCTCTTCATCTCTCAACCGGGCTTTACTAGCCGCCACCTCTCGATCGCGCTTCTTTTTCTGTTCCTCCACCACGCGGTTTCTCTCCTCCAGTGCCTTCTCACGCTTCTCGCGTGACTCGCGCTGCTTTCGCTGCTCTTCGTCGTCCCTGGCTGCATCTAGGTCCTCTGGTGGGGGAGGCAGATTGCTCACGTAAGCCTCGATCAGAGGATCGCGGATCTTGGGCTCGAGGGATATGAAGCGAATGTCGGTGAGGACCGGGTCGGGTAAGCCGGTAGATAGCGACTTGTTGTTTAGTAAGTGCACCGGCTGGGCCTTGAGCAGGGCAGTAAGATCGGACTTGAGTTTGGACTGGGGCATTTTGAGGCGACCAATGTGTTCTCGATATGCCTTCTCGCGATCCTTGTCGGTGATCTTGTGATCTTTCATGACGTCCTCTTTCTTGTATTTCCTCTTGAACTCGGGCCAGTACAACTTCGGCGTCGCCTTTTCTTGCAGGAATGCCATGTAAGCAATACGAGGATCCCGCTTTTCCTGCCTGGCTCGTTGCTCCTTCAACTCCGCGATCTTCTCACGCGTCCACTCGTCCCAGCAATCCCGACGTGCTTTCGTGGTGCTTAGTGCTGTATATCGCAAGTCATCGATGATTTTGCCTTCCTCCAGGAGTTTCTCCCACGGACTGTATGGGTTGATGTTGAAGTCGTTCAAGAGGTCCTTGAACAGGTATTTCGCGTCGTCTACGGATAGAGGCACTCCCTCGGCACCTTCAGGCCATTCTTCAGCGTTTCCGTCGTCGTAGTCGCCCGGTTCAAGGCCGTAATCGTCTCCCATGGCTTGTAACTGAGCTGCAAAATCAGCTTCTGTGAATTCCATCGGGGCGTCTTCGTCTGCATCTGGATCTGCAGTCCGTTGCCGTTTGGAGGGGTGCTCTCCATCGCCTTCCCCTTCCCCTTCGTCATCGGTCACCTCGACCTCTTCATATTCGCTATCGTCGTCCAATCCTGCCACTGGGGCGTCCTTCTTTTGTGGTATTGTTGGCTCTTGTTGATTTTCATCCTGTTTATCCTCCTTTCCTTGGTTCTCTCCTGTTGCTTTCTGCCGTAGCCGTGCCTTGTCAAGCTCCAAAATGGCTGGCTTCAACTTCTCCGGTATGCGCCAGTAGCTGGCATTCTTGACAGGGTTGTATACGAAGCGCCTCGAGTACTTGGTATATACGAGAATCCATGGTTCACAACCTGGGATCGGCTCCTTTCTCCTCGGCTTGTCAACAGGCTGTGGGCGCGGTCGACCTTCGAAGCCTCCACGACCTCCTCCACGACCTCCTCCATGCCCACCTCGGGAGCTATTATTATACCTTTGCCCATTGTTGCCTTGATTGAATTGTGCCATGTAAGCGTTAGCAACGTTGGGATCGGCTAAGTATGGGATTGAGCCATAACCAGGATATGTGGGAGCTGGTGGTTGCGCTGGCAGTGGAGGCGGCTGGGCTCCTGGACGCTTGTAGGTTGATTCCTTTGTTTCAGCGTTGTAATAGTATGTATGTCCAGTCGGCGCGGTATGCTCGCTCCATCCTGGCGGGAGCGGTGCCAGAGCGGCTGCCGATGGTGTGTGTGTCGATTTGAGCATCTCGCTTCGTCGCGTCGCAAACTATGACATCGGGCAGTGCATTTAGGAGCTATTCCTGAAAATGTGCTTTATAAGCAAGATGTTCGCGCAGGCACAGGTTCTAGATTTCCGATTGTCGATATTTCATCGGTAGGAGTTGTCTTGTTGAAAAGTTGTTATGGCTGAGGGAAAGTAACGAAGTTTCCTCATTGCCAGTCGTCACAGAAGAAATCCAACAGAGCTTGGGCCTAAGAAATACCTTAGTGGATGGTGATTTGACCCTACTTACCCTGGAGCTGGGCAGCTCCATCTGAGATTTGTATATCGACTTCTTTTCACTTCAAAGTTGGGAAAGGGAATTCATGTTTAGATCATGACTTGTAATTATTGTCTTAGATACAAAGATGGATATATACTGGTCTGTTATGCCCATCAACACCGTTTCTGCGCCCAAGGTGCTACAGGGTTGAAGGTACCTATGTCTAACATTGTATAGAGAAAACAATAGCGATTATGCCGGGGTTCAGTTTAATAAGTTTGATAATTCATTATAGCCACTTAGTCCTGGCTTTTGGCCTTGCGAGGACTAATTATGAACGCCGGCCGTATACTGTTGGCGTACATCAGTTACTCTTTATCTGCATTCTTTCATTGATATGGGCCCAAGAAAACCAACGGAAGATCAGGGGTCCTCATTCCCGCATTTGGTAACATGTCCAACCTCAGCAAGAACCTCTTACGTCTTCACAACAGCACTGAACTTATGAGCCGCGCCTCTTTAACATGACTTGGTAACAAAGACAAACGTCCTCTAATTTGCAGATACAGAAAAACTGCATTTTCCAATTGTTGCGACTCTGCAGTCTGCCTACCTATGCTCCGTCACCTCCGCCTGTCAAACCTGATTTCAACCATCGTCATCAATCATGGCTCCAGCTCATAGCTATGGCTCCTCCGGCGGACCAATCTCATTTTTGAGGAGATACTGGAAGGTATAGTGGTTCTTAAAATCGGTATTTGGTGTTATACTCATGACATACAACAGACAACTCACGCGCCTGATTATGTCGGCTTCCTGTTCCTCTTAACAGGCTGGATCTTGGTCTGTACTATATCGCCAGTGGGAACTGAGAACAATGGTTGACAGGTTCACAGACGGTCCTCTTCGTCAACCCATTTCATCGCATGTTCTTCATAAACGACCTGCAGATCTCGTATCCCTTTGCGGTCCATGAGCGTGTCCCTGTCTGTACGTCTCAAACATTAACCTCAGCTTCTGTGACTGGACTTAACAAAGACTACCAGTTATGAACTTCGTATACGCCCTTTTCATACCGCTGGGAGTTTTAATCGCTTACAACATAATCGCAAGGTCGTCAGCAGCCAAGCATGAAGTCACTTACCTCTCGTTCCTTATTTCTATTGTGCTCACATCCTTCATCACTGACATCATCAAGAACGCTGTGGGTAGACCTCGTCCTGATCTGCTAGACCGATGCAAGCCCGCAATCGGCACAAAGGCCAACACCCTTGTTACCATCGATGTCTGCACGGCAGAAGATGGCCACATACTACAAGAGGGCTGGCGATCATTCCCTTCTGGCCACTCATCCTTCTCATTCGCTGGCCTTGGTTTTCTCAGCCTCTTCCTCGCCGGCCAACTCCATGTGTTCCGTTACTCGGCTGGCGGTCGTGATCTAAGCCGCGCGTTGGTCTGCCTACTGCCGCTCATCGGCGCTGGTCTAGTCGCTATATCGAGATGCGAGGATTATCGCCACGACGTCTACGATGTCTGCGTAGGCTCAGCTCTGGGCATGAGCATTGCGTATTGGAGCTACAGACGGCACTTTCCTCGCCTCTCAAGTACGAAATGCGACGAGCCTTATCCACGACCAGGAGTTGATACTCAGCCGGGCTGGCAACGAATCACGGATGATGAGGAGGCAGCAAGAGGGACAGAAGTAGGATTCGAGATGGAAAACTTGAGAGGTTCGCGACGCTGATATTGGGGACTAGGAATAGTTTGAATGCTTGCCCGAGATGCTCTGGCTTAGACTGCATTGCATTACTCCTTCACCGAAGCACCATGTGTTCGACAACACTTTTAGACTTGGTCAAGCCAGGCGTTGGATAAGTCTCGTTTTGTGGTCATTTCATGATATTATTGTACAGGGGCAGATAAGAGTGGCCCCGCATTCCTCCCCCCATCTATCAAGAATCTATAGCCTTGTTGCTTACTTTTCCTCTGTCTCCTCGTTCTTCGCCAGGTCATGCTCCTTCAACAACGCCGTAATCTCATCAGCACTCCACAGGCGGTGGTAGATCTTGCCGTCCTCGGTCTGTCCTACTGTCGCGAATTCAACTGGGAGTGATGTTAGCGGGAGTTCTGGTAGATATGTATAGACACGACGTACTCTTCTCGCTGCTCAGCTTGGTAGAATCCATCGTCTTGCTGAGAACCTTGACCGCCATGCCGCAAGCCTCCTTCAGAGTGCAGTCTTCCTTGTAATCCTGCTTGAGGAGACTCTGTGCGCTTGCATTGTTGGCACCCGCACTTGTAGCCTTCCAACCACCGTAATTGCCAGAGGGGTTGCTGAGATAGAGCTGGAATTGTCTACGAGGATCCCAACCGGCGTAGATGAAAGACACACCAAAGGGTCGTAGACCACCGTGTTGGGTGTATCCCTGCTTAAGATCGCAAAGTCGACGCACAAGCTGTTCGCAAGGGATGTCTTCGTTATAGGTGAGGAGGTATCGTTGAGCGGCTTGTCGGGCGTAGTTGATAAGAATGTTGGCATCGGCGGTCATGCCAGCGACGGCGCAGATCATGTTGCTAAACGAGAATATTGTTAATAAACAACCTTCGACCTAGCGAGGTAGACAATGGAGAGTTTGCGCACTCGTTCAAGATGTAGAGCTTCTCGGCGGAGGTGTCTTGCTCCAAAAGCTTTGAGGTGACCTTTCGCTCGGCAGCTAAGACGATACCATCCTTTGCCAGGATGCCAATGGCTGTGCCTGCGTGTGAGATGGCTTCTAGAGCATATTCGACCTGGTACAGACGGCCCTCTGGTGAGAAGATGGTTGTCTATAGAAGCCGGTTAGCTTGGTGGGAGAGCTTCGAGGTACTGGAGCTTCAAGGGCCAACGTACTCGGGAATCGTAACGGCGAGACATGATGGATTCGTTGTGGTTACGAGATAAGAGAGATGAAGAATGTGGCAAGCCTCTCTGAAACAACTAAAAACCAGGTCGAAAGTAACAGAGAGCCGTTGTGATGGTGACAGTCTGGCTGAGATGGTGTTGAGGCTGTGGATTCGTCTACGTCGTTACCTGTAACGGAGCTCTAGGCCGCCGCGCCGCGTTAGCTTTCTGCTGGTGAGCTGCTTGACACTAAGGCTGAAGAGTGTTGCCTCAGGTTGCTAATGGGGGGTAAAGTCTAGCCAATGACTTGGGCCCCAAACTGCAAGGCTGATCTGCCTCATGACTAATCCCATGTTTTATTGTTTTCATACACCTCGGTCACAGGAAGAAAGGTACAAAGTACCTGGTAGGCTTGTTAATCAGGCAAACATATTGCCACAATCAGGCATGCAATACTTGCTCTCCATTGTCACGCAAAGCAATCACATTGTCACAGGCGTTGGCTCCTGAACAGGCTAGGGGAGGAAAGAAAACCCAGGGCCTTTGCCTTAGGTAGCAAAAATACTTAGGTAAACTTGGTCTCAATTTAGGTAACTCTTTGCTGTATTTATTTTGACACCCTGTATCAAGGTTCGGTGTTTTCTTGCCCCCATGAAGCCTGGTTAGTTCCTGCCACCTGCCACCACAATTCAGCTACAGGGCATTGGCGACCCGGGCGAAAGCTACTAGTTTTTCTACCTCCGCAATAGCTCCCTTCCCCTCCAGTTTCGGGATCGTAACTCTTCTCTTCTACATCATCATCATTTCATCCAGCACCATCCTGGCCCAACCAGCTCCGAGAGACTACGGCTGCTTGCATTTATTTCGCGGGACATCTTAAAACACTCCCCTGACATTGATTCTCAAGTGCGCGCGTCATTCCAACCACGGCACGCGACCTATCGCAAATCACTGATACTGGATCTCCACTATCGCAAAATCGTCGCGCTCCTCTCACGCAGTTCGTGAGGTCGCTTCAAGGCATTGCCGCTTTCATCGCATTCACCACTTTCGAATTACAGAAACCTATTCTTACCCTTCAGACGCAGGCCACATTCTACCTGAGTGCCTGTGCTAGTGAAGGCACCACTTTGCGCCAACACGGTTAGAGATTTGAAGACAAGCATCTGCGCGTGGATCAGCTGGGAAGAGCCTGAATCTGTTCTTGACATAGTCGTGACTCTCAATTATTTCCCACGTAATTACCTCAATGCCTGTCTAAGGGCACACACCAACCTGCGCTTCGTTGCAACAGTAGAAATCCCTCCCAACATCTGCCACGCCACCAAAAGCCGCACCACATCGGCACGCGTCGCTTCATCCAAAACACCACATCACAGCCATTCGCACGTTCTTAATCATGTCCGGTAAGCGACAAAGATTCGCAAAGTCCCCGAAGCAATCCCAGCTCGTTCAAGACACAGCACCCCCAAAGCGCGACCGACACCGCGACACCACGCATTCTGCAGCACCAACTAACAGCAACATCTCAGGCGAAGCGGAACCTCGACGATCGGTACGCGCCACTAAAGGCCAGCATACGAAGTCGTTCGACGAACTTGAACCTGCGACCGTGCCCAAAAAGCGACAGACTAAGAAGACCAAGAAAGCCAAAGAGCAGGAACAAGAACAGGAACAGGAACAGCAGCAAGGACAAGAGGAAGAGGAGGAAGAGGAAATCATCCGCTGTGTATGCGGCGCTACCGAACAAGATGAAGATTCTGGTGAAGCCTGGATCGCTTGCGAAACCTGCGGCGCATGGCAGCACAACGTATGTGTTGGGGTAAGCTCATACGATGATGAGATACCGGAGCATTACTGGTGCGAGGAATGCAGACCGGACGATCACAAGGAGCTCCTCGATGGCATAGCTAAAGGAGAGAAACCTTGGGAAGCTCGGCGCAAAGCGCATGAGGAGGAGTCCAAGAAGAAGAAGCGTGGCGGACGAAAAGGCAAAGGCAAACGTCACAGCGAGACGAAGGAGGAAGATAAGGCCAAAGCCAAGTCTTCTCCTGTGCCTGTTCCGGACACGACCAAAGATAAGAAAGAAGCAAAAACGGGGAAGCGAAAAGCCCGTGAAGAGTCTCATGACGCCGATGGCAAGGTACGATTTACACACCCCCTTTTCCCCAAATGCTTATGCTAATACATTGTGCAGTCTGCCAAGGTTCGCCGCATATCAGAGAACGGTGCAACTCCTGTTCCTGTCTCCTATACACCACCTGATGACCTCGCCGAATCGATATCAGATCTGCCTGGTCCTCGGACTGGCCCAGCTAAAGCCATGAGCAAGTCTATCAGCCATGTTTTGACATTGATGCAGAAGCAGGGCGAACTGGACCTGGAAGAGGGCAACACAGTTGAGTCTATGACTGAAACTTTCTCGCTCCAGATTGAGCGCGCTGTGTATGATTCCTACCCTGTGACCAAGGGACAGAAAGAATACAACCAGCAAATCAAGTCACTAAGCTTCAACCTGAAGAACAATCCAGAGTTGTGTCATGGACTTGTCCATAAGACTCTGTCTCCCGCAACTCTGGCTACTATGACATCAGAGCAGCTTGCCTCGTCGGAAATGAAGAAGCAGACAGCCGAGATGAAAGCAAAGGCCGAGAAACAGTCTATACTTTATACTTCTGAGACGGGACCTCGCGTCCGACGAACACATAAGGGCGAAGAGGTCGTTGACGACGAAACATTTGTCAACGACTCTGCTGTGCCCCTCCCGCCAGGACCTCCTCGCCGGCCAGAGCCTCAGGCCGTTAAAAAGGAACCTACAGGAGGCGACAAAGCGGACCTGGCTTCGCACCCACAGCAGCAGGACGATAAGCAGCGATCGCCAAGCCATCCTGAATTCGACATCAACGAAGTATTCTCCAGCGTCAAGTCTCCCACTACAACTCAGAATAGGCGGCCTTCGGCTCTGGTAACTGGAGCCAATGGTCCGGGCGTGGATCCCGATGTAGATCGCATGCTCCAAGATGAGAATGAGTCGCCTCCTTATTCGCCCACAGAGGAGACTCAGGACCCCGATGTCATCTGGCAAGGCTCTCTCGCCATGAGCTCGATTGCTGACTTCCCAGCCACAGCCAAATATATCGGTGGTGCCAACTTTGCTTCAGTTGGACCGTGGTCTAAGTTGATCCCAAAGAGGATGACAGTAGCCGGACGAATCCCCGAACAAACTGCTATCGAGTACTTATGTGGTCTTCGTTACAGCAAAAGCACTGATGTCATTGTCGTTTCAGTTTCACCGGTCTCGCCCTTTTCTGATACTGAGTTTCACAATCTTCTCAACTACTTCATTAACAAGAAGCGGTATGGCGTAATTGGAGATAAGGCAATCGGCAATGTACGAGATACATATCTGGTACCAGTTCCTGCAGGGGAAGACAACTATCCTGAGTTTATGCTCAACCTGGTCGATAATAAGATCCCGAGGGTCCGGACAGAACCAATGTTGCTTGCAGTGTTTGTTTACCATAACGAGCCTGACCAACTCAAACACCTGAAGGATGGGACTGTCAATCAACAAGATGCCAAAGCCCTGGGAACACCAGTGCCTGCAGCACATGCTCAGAGAAGCAACTCGACAGCGTCCGCGGGCCCGGCATTCTCTCCCGCGACCCCCCAGGCCCCTCAGGGAGGGTTTCAGGGAGGGTTTCCTCAGCAATCATCACCAGGCCAATGGCAGTCTACAACTCCTGTGCCAATTCCCCAGCCACCGTACACTCGGCCACCGGTGCCACCACAAGCTCCAACACCGGCACCTGCAGCCGCGCCAGCACAGGTGACAGAAGCACAAAGGCACCAGGCTCAGCAGGCAGGCGTGGCCATGGCACAAGAGCTCCTAGGACAGTGGATAACAGCCCCAACCGTGCAATTTATCTTGCCTCAAGCGTTCCAGATGGCCCGTAAGGAGTGGGAAGTCGTAAGGAAGATTCTGGAGCGTGATCCAAAAGCTAGAGACGACCTGCAGCATCTTGGTAATCTTCTGGAGAAGGAGAGCGTCACAGAAAAGACAGGAGGAGCTGGTGCATAATGATGTTATGGAACAAAAAGAGTAACACACAAGAATATATGAAATGCCAGCAAGGGGCGTGCAGGAGTTGAACAACAGAGGCTTCCACAAGGCGGTTTTGCTTTTTCCTTAATATGGGCTAGGCGGCATGTATATGTTTTCGCAGAGTATGATTAGGCATGGTCTATTGGAAATCATGATACTCTCGAGAAGCGAAAGTCGCGGATTAGTGTTCTTTTATATACCTTACCATACCTGTACCGTAGTCATGACTTTCTCTTCCTATGTGTTCTATTATTCGTCCTCGATTTGCCAATCAATTGTGAATGTTTCAAGGCCCTCAGCCCATATTTGGCAGTTTTGGATAATTAGTTACATGCAGGTATCCTACAGACGATCTTGTGGAGCTTGTGAGAACTCGAGTACCTAAAACTGGGAGAACATCTTTGCATTGCAACACAGGTTTCCTATATTCTTAAATTATACCTTACCTATCCTCACTACCTGTTATATCTAAATCGAGTCCTGAAGATGTAAATAAGTACCTAGTGATAAATAATTGCTATCAGTTAATAACAACTGAAATGTCAATATAATAGGCGATGGCTCAATCATAAATGAGTAAATATGTTTAATCGTCCGCTTGGTCCGTCCATCTCGCTGCATGTCATATGAAGCAGCCGACGTCGGCTGCCTGACAGTTCGGTAAAAGTGGAACCTCCGCTCCGTTCTGGCAGACTGTTCCCGGGTGCCGTTCACGCCCCGGTGTTCCCCATTTGTTTGTTTCAGCTTAGGGACTTGGTATACTTCTTTCCATATGAAAATAGCTTTTAGAGTAATAGTTCACCAACTTCGTGCCTACGGAAACAAGCTCCCTCAGCCTCAGGAGCGTGCCGTACTCCCGTTCATAGCATTCATAGCAGAGATATCAGCAACGTCAAGCATCCCTCGAATCAAGTCCATGGGGGTCGGTCTGGTCAGGTTCAGTGAGAAATATGTATACAGAGTGTAGACACGATAAGTTGCTTGCAAACTCGAAGGCATAGAATAGTTGACGCTGTATGCAGAAAAGACAATGCAGGACTGAACAATGCCTTATACAGACAGACCTTACTATCTGGACTGCCTATACTCGAGTTGTCTTGGCTGGGAACTGGCCGCCAAATTCCTTACTTTACCTTACCGCGATGGAGACGGAGGGGTAAATATGGTGCAAGCACCCCGCCATAATCACGTGGCTATTCACTTATTGAACCTCGTCACTTTGTCCTGATCACGCCTTTATTCTTTCTCTATAGACACTACGACAGCACCTACGGCAGTCAGATTTGATTTTGTACAACATGCCGATAACTGTCATTCTCGGAGCCCAATGGGGTATGTTTCTCTCCCTACCTATTCTGGAACATGCCCTTCCTCCGTATCCAGCCGATATCGGTTCGATGCAATTATACTGACCAGGACTTCCATAGGTGACGAAGGTGTGAGTACTTAGGGAGGGCCAAACACAACAGATGAAACCCAGGCACTAAACATACTCCAGAAGGGCAAATTGGTTGATGGACAGTGCCAGGAGGCTCAGCTCTGTGCCCGAGCCGCGGTAAGCACAATCCAGGCAGAACTGAATACTTGCTAATCAACCCCAAGGGTGGACATAACGCTGGACATCTCGTGCGGTTTGTTAAACTCTTTCTATCGATCGACGTGTTCATACGTATTGTGTTGCTAATATGTGCCAAGTGTAAACGGAGTTTCCTACAGGTAAGAAACAGCACATGCGGAGGGACTGGATAATTGCTAACGTAGAGGCAGCTTTCACCTCTTGCCCTCTGGGTTGATCAACCCCAGATGGTTAGTCGAAAATAATGATCGTTCAAGCTGGCGACAGCGAGGTTGACAGGTACCATAGCATGAACTTCATCGGTTCGGGCGTTGTTTTCCACGTGTAAGCCCCTATATAGCCCTGCACTCCTAAGTCGACTACCACATCAGCATCTTGTTGGCATCTGGCCTGGCTCACGCCTTCAACCGAGCATGCCAAAAAATACTAACTCTGTTGTCTTCTAGCCCAAGTTTCTTTAGCGAGCTCAAGGAGCTCGAGAAAAACCTGACTGCGGTACATGATCGGATCTTTGTTTCTGATAGGGTCAACATTCTCTTGGACCTGCACATCGCAGTGGACGGTCTCGAGGAGGAGGAACTTGGAGGTTCGTCCAAGTTTCTGGCATTGTCCCTGAGAACGAAAGGCTAACGTCTACACTAGACGCAGCTATTGGAACAACGAGACGCGGTATGCTCACCCCGGGACTCCATGACGGATTATTCTTTTCTGTTTTCATCATGTCATCGCAAACATTATCAAATCTCAATGGCGTGGAGAACCCCAGCCATTGTCTTGCCAGCGACCCGATATAAGCAACGAAGTCTAACTTGCGCCATAGGCATTGGTCCCTGCTATCAGACAAGTAGAGCGGTAAGAGATAGCCATTATAATGGAACGGGCTGTGTGTTAACTTGCCCAGCGAACTGGCATCAAAATGAGCGATGTCTTCAACCCTGAAGTTTTTGAGCAGAAGTTGAGGCGCTTGGCCGACGGCTTTCAAAAGCGCTTCGGAGAACTGCTCAAATATGACATCAAGGCCGAGCTTACTCGTTTCGATGAGTATAGGCAAACGCTCAGCAAGTACGTCGTGGACGGCGTGGCTTTTATGAAATCCGCACAAGAGAGCAACATGAAAATCGTGGTCGAAGGCGCAAACGTAAGGTTCCCATCCTGTGACTAAACGAGTAGTACTGACGCATAGCGGAACGAGCACCGCGCCCATGGTCTCACAGTCCTCTCCCCTAATCCCGCAGGATTCTTAGCTCGAGGCAAGACATATTGCTCATTTGAGCATTGGCTTTGCTAGCGGTACCCAACAAGCGGTATGCGCTGTGACAAGCTGTGTATATGTTCACGCCTCGGCAGAGTTCGGGAGTCATACAGAGCCTTGACTTCTACTGGTCTACTTGACTGTCAAGCGTGGTCAGTGGAGTCAACGATGGTTTCATGCGAAATGTGTGCCTAGGATCAGCTTGGAGCAGACCCAGACATGACGTCTCGAGGTTAGAGTCCCAAACTGTGCTCAGAAAGTCTGTCTCTAGATGAGCCCGTGGCTTCATGTCAAACCTCGGCGCCACCTGACAAGTTGGTAGATCAGTGTCAGTCAAGTCTCGTGTGAAGGAAAGGGGTTCTGAAGACCTGGCGCTTGTACTTGTTCCCAACTGAACAGGCACTGATGCTAGATGTTGATTATGGTTCTTATCCAGTAAGTTTCCGCCAACTTGACCTTCCGGTTTGCACTAGTACTTATGATTAACTACAGTTTGTCACTTCCTCAAGTACTACACTTGCCGGTATTATTGGCGGACTTGCACTGAACCCAAAGAATATCACGGAGACGGTTGGAGTGGTTAAGGCCTGTATGTCGATTACTTGATGGCCATAATCTACTGCTGACTAGCAACAGATACCACCCGTGTTGGGGCTGGAGCCTTCAAGACCGAAGATACCGAAGAGTGCGTCTTGACTACCATCTTGAGGTTATTCTGAAGCTGAATGATAAACTTAGGATCGGCACCAAGCTCCAGGAGATTGGACGCGAATGGGTGAGACCACAAGCGCTCCGGAGGTTTCGAGCTTCTATAGCTGACGAGATTTACCTAGGGAACGTCGACTGGCCGCAGACGCCGATGTGGATGGTCAGTTTTCACCATGGCTCTTTGCTGCTGACAAACTTATTGACCGCTTTCAGGCTTGGTAGACACAACCTTGAAAACTTGAGTAGTAGGGAACACAGCTGACAAGCACACACAGACCTTGTTGTGGTCAAATACAGCAACTCAATCAATTACTACGACAGCTTGAATCTCACAAAGGTAGAGAAAGCCCGTGGCACGCATCAAAGCTCTCTAACACTCTGCAGCTCGACGTTTTGGATACTTTCGAAACGATCAAGATCGCCATTGCCTACAAGATTGATGGAGAGGTCAGTGATGCCGACATGATGATAGATGGTGTAAACTGACCATTTGGCCAGGAACTGGATTCTTACCCTGCGGATCTTGACATCCTGAACCGAGCTGAGGTGGTTTACCACGAGATGCCAGGCTGGCAAAAGCCGACCACCAACGCGAGGACCTACTACGACCTTCCTAGGGCAGCCCGCGAGTACGTCGAGGTGAGCATATTTACCTGGGCTAGCCTGATGAACAGTGTCACTGACAAACCGCAGTACATCGAGAAGTTTGTTGGAGTCAAGGTAGGTGGACGCGCATAGTGACCTCCACCGCAATTGCTAAAGTTGTGCAGATCAAGTACATCGGCACCGGTCCTGACCGAGAGGCCATGATCCAGCGTGCCTAAGTATGCGAGATAGAGGACGGAACCTGATGCTTGACCTGGATCGTACGTCAGGAGTGTTGGCAGTCGAAATCATTCAGTGACTGAAGAGTGTGCACACTTAAGAAAGAGACTTGGACTTTCTCACAGGTTGGTCATGCTCCAGACTTCAAACTCCGCATAGCCAGCCTGAGTTCTGGTATCGTATAGATCGACGCCGCTCGTTTCAATCAAGGTCTTTTAGGAGACCATGATTGGACCAATGCTGATGCCTCGACTGAGATAAGCCTTTGTTACTGTAGGACTGCTAGAACTCTATCGCTGTTAGGTAAATTTCGTATCAAAAAAGGTACATTGATAAACCTATGATCTATACATGAGGTTCCGTAACATTGCGACCTGCCCGGCTACCTCCCCTTCTTTGCACGATTCCTGTATGGCCGCCGTTGACGGACCGGGGGCGTATATATCCCTATATTGACAGGAATTACAACAAATAGGTCGTTGAGAATATGATGACTGCCCAGTGACTTAGAATGAAGCAGTCGTCATCGATTACGCTTTCGAGCTCCCTCAGGACTACCTAATGCGTTGGAATTCCATCTTGGGTTATCGCTCTCTCGAACTGGTGCCCATGCAAGCTGAATCTACACCAACATTAGCATCGTCCCTTAACCAGTGACAGGTAAGTACACTCACCTGTATAGTATTTTGATCCCAGTCCTTGGTGAAACTTCTGATTTTCCCATCCTCGACTTCAAAGATCGCGGCAGCGCTCCACTGCGCATGTCTCCCTGTCTTGGATATACCCTTATACGGCCCTCCACAATGACTTTCCTGGGCCGTTTATCTTAACAGGACCTGTCCATCTTTGGCCCAGGACTGGCCGAAGCGGATGGCTTCGAGGTCTGCAACGCTGGCCATGACGGTAGAGTGAGATTACGCGTTGTCCATGGGCGTCTCGCAGCCGGGAGATGTAGCGGGTGCCCAGAACCAGCTGTCTTGGTGGCAGAGAGACTGAACCGATGAAGCGCCCTTGTTTTCGGTGGGAGAATAAGGTATTCGCATATATTCTTTACAGAGGTCTATATTGCTCTGTCATTGAACTTATTAGTATCAGTTGCGGATTGCTGGTCGAATGCTTGCCTGCCTGCTCCGTCTGACGAGGCGAAATAACGCCTAGAGGCTACATGTTTGCGTAGATTACTGAGTTCTTTTCAAGCGTTATATAATAGTTCAAGATTCTCGTACATGTCAAGACTTTTATAGGGGCATGTGCTATCTATGTCTAAAAAGAAGAAGAAAAAGTCGAAAGTGTATGCTGTCAGAGCATCGTCACCTTATTGTCTAAGGTATGACATCAATCTCAGCAACAAGCATAGAGACAGCATTACATTACTAACACCCTAATTTCCATAAGCTCGATGCCTTTTATATCTAGGAAGGTATCTTATTTCGTCTTCCTAAACATGATGAGCTCTTCAATAGGCAGTGCCCATGCCTGCTCTTGGATGTTGAAGAAAACAAGTCTTCCATCTGGCACAGGCAAGCCTGTCAAGAACTGGCTTTGCTATGAGACATCTCTAACTTTGATAACCTTATTGTTTGTTAAGTATTACTTTGAACACACATTGATTCTGTGCTTCATCGGGCAATCCAGCTCGATATGCCATGACATGAGTTCTGGCCATCTTGATATTAGACCGCAGTGTTCATCTCCGAAAACAGAGGCAGGTTAATTACTTCAGTAGCGTACTCGGAATATATTCTCTCCCAAAGCTTCATCATTGCAGTGGCTCAATAGAGGCTGAGCTCTCAGGGAGATTGCCAAGAGGTAGGGATCAAATCCAGGGTCTACACGTTGAATCACAATCCACCCCCACACTTTAGCCCAATTGGTGACGCAATCATGTTACAGCTGTAGCCCAAAATAGGTCGGCATGGTCCAAGCTACAGCCCAAGCTTGAAATTCAATTCCAACTCCTGCTCCTGCTCTCCTGCTGCAGCTTGAAACCTGGAACTTCATTCTTCTACCCCTAAATCTCACTGACTTCGTTATCGCATCGGTAAGTCAAAACAAATACACGCCTCTTCTCCTCTTGTTCCTGCGCATCAACTCATCAAAGTCAAAGATGAAGATGAACGAATGGTAGCTAACCCAGCAAAACTGCAGATCCCTCTAAGCTCTCCTGTATCAATTCCAAGCAACTTCCAAAATGGCTTGCGGTTCCTCCAAATGTCTCTACGACCGCAACGGTCCCGGCAGCGCTGCCACTTCGATTGCCGAGTCCATCATTAAGCCCTCCGAGGCCACGGGCACCAAAACCAAGTGTATCGAATGTGGCGACTACGAATGCTGCTGTATCCCCTGCACCATCCTGTAAGGGGGATCGAATAACAACATGAGTTGCGAGGCAACAAGGCCGGGTGTTTGTTGTTTGAGAATTGAGCTTTTATAGTCCTTTGTGTGTTGCATCGCGATGCTGCTGGGAAACATAGCGCAGCTGAAGAGTGTATATTGAATCAACGACTCAGACGAAGTTTATGACCGCCTTTTGACAACCCGAGGCTTGGCTTGATGTATTTCCACTTGTATGTGCGTAGATGTTGAGGTTCGCTCCATGTCGCAAACATCGCGACCTTCGTTGTGTGAATTCCTCTCTTTTTTTGTAAACCCTCTAAAAAAAAGAAGTCCATTATACAAGGTTGTGCAATAAAATTCGCCCCGCTCCAAGACTCCAGCTGCGGTCATCCTTCGGGACTAAATTCTGAGAATATGATGTGCGAAATGGCTGCCCAATGTGGGAAGACTGTCTCGTTTGTTGGGAAGTTGATCTTTGCAACTCCCTTGATAATAATGTGACGGTAGGGACAATATCTGATGCTTGTGCCAATACCCGGCCTCAAGTAAATAAGGCATCTGTGGCAGCCCACACGTCTGCTTCTCTTTGTTTCGCCAACGACTCCAGATCATCCCCCTCGGTGTTCTGTCCTAAAGCCTTGGGCACATCGGGTACGCTTAAGCTGCCCAGGCCATCGAGTACGCGGCGTGCCTTGTCCACCTGTATCCGTATGGCCATGGTCTCAGCTCGCGTGCGGTCTAGGTGCTCTTGCATCAGCGCAATGACTGATTCGCGTGCTTGATGTGGCCGGTACTCGTTGAGGATGTGATGAAAGTTGATGAAGAGTGTGCGCAAGTCCTGCACTTTTGCTTCGGCATGCGATGGGTTATGCGATAACGTTCCAGAGAGCTCGAGAAAATTTAACAGAAGCGATTTAGCTAGCCGTTTGAGCTCAAAGGCGCGATCAAAGCGCTTAGCATCCTTGGACTCCGGCTGTGATGATGAGGGAAGATTGGTAATCCCTTGATCTTCGAGAGTTGGAAGCTTGTCGTCCAGCTAAACATGAACTTAGCCAACAATCTTGTAGAAATAGTCGCAGTTGCTTAACCTACCATGTACTGATCGCCAAATACACGCCAGCGTCCATCAGCTGGCTCGGCTGGAGGTTGCAGATTGACGAGATCTTCGGGAATACCAGGCACGCGGACTGTCAAAGGATCGCCACCATGTTCCGCGATGTATGAAGTCCTTAGTTCTTGAATTCGAGAAATCTTGTCTGTTGTAAAGTCCTGCCAAAAGGGAGGCGGATTAGGGAACATGGATGAGAGCGAATGGCCCTCTTGCTGTTGTTCGGCCATCTTCAGCTCTTGTAGGAGGATCGCCTCATAAAGCAATCTTATGAGCAGTTGTATGAGCAGAGAATAAGACGGTACGTCAAGACGGCGGCTCAAAAGACAGAGCAAGACAAGGTTTCCTGGTGGGGGAGTGAGACTCTGGTGGGATGGTTGGAATCCACGTGGATGCAACTGCGGTCAAAGCTTTTTGAGAGCTTGGCTACCTAAATAGGAATTTATTAATGCAGCAAGTCTCAATGATTTGAGAAAGTAGATATCACTCAATATCGTTTAGTGTCGTGCTGTGTGACCGTCGAAGATGATACCGCAAATAGTTAATGACAAGATTAGATAAAGGTAGACCCTCCCACTGAAATAAAGTGAAGATCCGTTTGCGCCGGTTAATCGTCGGTGGTTGCTCACCTCACACCTCTTTGCTACCCTTCGGCGACCTTGAATCTCTACCATCCAACGTCATAAGCACTACGCATTTCTTTCTTTTCTTTTCTGACATTCCTCTTTTTTCTCTAGTCCTATTCTTTATGAGGCAGCTTCTCTTGATCTCCTGAGCCCAATTGATATCGCGAATTATAACCAGCTTCATATACTTGAACACCTTGCTTTACCTGTGGTATTCTTCAGCTACCACATTCCTTCAACGTCACGAATTAAAGCTCTTCATCTTCATCTGCTTCCATGTCCGACGTACGCTCTCTTTTGCGGCAACAGCGCGCTGCTCGCCGTATCGAACACCCATATGCCGCCTATTCTGATGCAGGCAAACTTCTATGCACCCTCTGCCACGAGCAAATCAAGGCCGAATCGTTATGGGACTCACATGTCCGAGGAGAGGCACACAAAACTCGCTTAATAAAAGCTCAAACGACGGCGTCTTCCAACGCTCGAGCTTTACAACAACAGACTTCACAAAAACGAAAACACGACGATAACGAGGAGGCTATCGACGATAAAGACGGAGATGTCGAAATGGACGATGGCAGGCGGAAACGAAATAAGACGGATGGAGTGGATGGAGACGGAGATAGGGATAACAAGGATCAGACTTTGACACCACCTCGATTGACTAGGAGGACGTCGACTACACCGTCACAAGGGGTTGAGATCCAAATCCCATCGAGACCAGCAACACCAGCTCATCGAGATGGCTCTTCCGCTTCCACCCCTGGAGGTCAGCTTAATAACCTGACCTCACAATCTGCCACTGCATCGCTCCCGTCACGCCAGGCCAGTAGTCTGACTGCAGACGAGCGCCTTACATCTGCGGCGGCAATGGCGGTTGATGAGGCAGAATGGGCAGCATTCGAGGCCGACATTGCTGCTACAACAGCCACATACGATGAAGACGCGACTATATCAGCCCCAGCCATGACGGCGGAGGAAGCTGCTGCCGCCGATGCCCAGAAGGAGGAGGAGGCCGAGAAGCGACGCGCTCAAGCTGATGTCGATCTCGAAGACGAAAAGGAGGAAGCAACACGTGCGCTCGAAGAGGAGTTTGAAGAAATGGAAGAGCTCGAAGCTCGCGTAAAGCGGTTAAAGGACAAGAGGGAGGCCCTTCGCAAACGTGGTGAAAGCTTCAGCCAAGAAAATGGCACCGGAAAACCTCCAAGCTTGGGCAAAGAGAATCAGGACACGCCAGCTATTGAAGAGAAGGAAGAGGACGACGATGAGGAGGAGGACGAAGAAGATGATGATTGGGATGGTTTCAGGTTTCGTACAGCCTGAGCAAAAGGGACTTTGTGCATAACCATGCATGATATAAAGATACCACTCGTGAGGGGTTCGCCGATCGCCTTCACATGGCCCCAGTACACATAACGGAGTTCGTCGATTTTGTAACATCACCACATCGTACATAATGTATCATACAAGTAATCCTGCCGACAGGACGAAAGCCACTACTGCCGCTGACGTCTCCCTGCCAGAACTGTGACCAATACAGAACCGAACTATAGTGGTCCTTCATGCATGATTGCAAACGCGACCTTACAACGATTCACCTCATAGAAGTTGATATCACTGACTTACCAAGCACTGTCTCGCTCCTCGCCACGACTAACTCTTTCCCAAAACCTACGGAGGCGCCACACGCGTCCTATGCCACGGCTCTCCTCGAATTTTCTTATGCCATCTTGGCGCTCTTTGACTTCACGCTTCCATCTCGACGCGATCCACTGTCGCAATCCGTCCTTAACTCTCTCCTTCTCGATTGCCTTCTTCTTGGCGACAATTGCTGGCGCCACATGCACTGACGTCATACCAGGCACGCACTCCTTGGGTAAAACAGAACGCTCAACCAAGGCTGCGGCTGAGGGTCTGGCTGCCAAGCGGCGAGACAATCGGATTGATACCAAGGATCGGGCTAACTTTCGAGAAACTATGGAAGTATGTGTCATGAAGATTGAACGAGCAATGAGATCAGCCAGTGTTGGACGAGATGGTGACGATAGGCGTGATGGAAGGTTAATTCGGGCTCGCTGAAGCCGATAATGGTGTAAAATAGGGGCTTGAGAGATATCGCGAAGGAGATGGCTCGTCTAAATCTGTATCAGTCTGTGTTCCCAAGGTCTCGGGCTGTCGGAACCAATTCAAGGTCTCATGAATGATCCCGGGATGTCAATAGGAAGGTAGACTTTATTCTTGCTAACGGTAGGTAGTCGATACTTACTCTCGACGTTGACAGAAGGTCGTTGACGTCCAGAAAACCCATAATATGAAACAAAACCTCGTTTGGCAGGTCCTCGAGGGAGGGCGAAAGAAGGGCACTTTGCAGTCTGATACAACTGACAGCGCTTGTCCCAAGCGATGAGCCTGGGCAAACGTCACCAGTCGCAAAGTTCAGGCAGGCTACCTCTTGCGGGATGCTGGGGGCGATTGGGCTGGCTGCAGATCGGGCATCAGTGGTCACGAACATCGCAGGGTAGGATCTGTTGACATCCTCGCCCGGAGCTAAACAGCCAGCGTTCTCGAGACGGGGTGAAGCGAACGACAGCCGATGTACCTGTGAGGTGAGCTGTTCAGGCGATGTGGCAACAGGCTTCATGACGATCTAAGTAATTACCCTCGGCGCTATTTGCAACAAAGGGTACTGCGAAAGGGTGTGAGGATGGGGGTATTGGTATAATGCGTCAACCCAGCAGGCCCGAAGTCCGCGAAGGTCCGGCAAGACGGCAGAACGCAACCAAGAGGCGAGAGAACATATGTGTCAGGTAAGTGTCGAGTGATCGTCACATGTACAGCTGGGTTGAGGCTCCAAAGACCTAGTAGTGTTGCTGCGCGTGATTCCGACAGACAATGTTGTGGATGATGGACTCCCGCACAAACAAGAAGAATACGGAAAACCCGGTGGATAATACAGAGTGGCGATGAGGGAATACACGACGAGGGATAAACACGGCGCGTAAGAAGTGCGGTCGCTGATACGGCCGGTCTGGTCAGTCGGTTGTAACCACAATATCGAGAAAGGAAACAGCAATTCAGGGAGAAATTGTGGCGGGGCCAGCAAGACTTTGTTGTCGTCGAAGCTTTTAACCACCCGAGATGGAGTGGCTCGATGTGTTGGAGCGACTCCGTCCGTCGAAGGCGACGGTTTCAATGTTGAGGCTAGAGTATTGACTGATGACGCGTAGGGCGCTAAGAAAGGCGAATAGGTAGTTCAGCCGGTAGGTGAGCCTCAAGCTATAAACCCTGATAGTACTGCGCCTAACTTGAAATAATTATTGCGCTATATCGCGGATAGTAGGTATGCAGCTGTCACTTCAAGAGGGTAAGATAGATGATGTGAGTATTTGGTTTGTGAGACAACATAAAGTTCGACATGAAACTTGGAGTTGAGGGGAAGTCCATTAAAGTGGAGGAGTGGAGGACGTATTGGGTTAGCTTGTATAGAGGTTAAGCGCAAGCGTTATCGAACTACAGACACTAATGGCGGGAGCCTAATAAAAGAAAGGTATGGTGATGGCCCTCTATTGGTCAACCTCTTCACCACCTCTTGTTGCAAAACGGGTCAGTTACAGGGCTGCAACTTGAATACAACTCCAAGTTGTTTAAGATGCCTATATACTTTAGGCAAGGAACAAGATAAATTGGTCCTCAATAGGTACTGACTGCATCAAAGCTTTATAAGCAATGTCATTTACCTAGTAGGTATAATTATTATTGCAGGTATCAACACCATAATCTGAAGTTCTTAAAGAACCATGAACTCAAAAACACTCAAAAGACACCTGAGGACACGAGCACTCAACTCGATGAGATAGGGGAAATTCAAACTGCACAAATTATACACATAAACAGGCTCTACTCGTCAGAAAACGTTTACTTACACTTACTGCTCCGTATACTATAGATAATCCATTCAAGTCGTTGATGAGTCTTTTGGGATTGACTTGCCTAACCTGTAGCCTAGCAGTGGCTCTCGGCCGTTCTTGTTTTTTTTTGTTGCCCATTCTTGCTTCCCTTTCTCTCTCCGTACTCACTTACCTTCATGGATCGTTAGTACCTGCCGCCTCCCCTCGTGCGTTCCCACCTGGCCACTTTCGGGACCAACTTGGCCTCCCTTTATTGGCCTATGTCTTATCTTCACCGCTCTCATTTTCAGAAGACGAAGAAGAAAAAAGTATAACACGACGGCCCAACATTAATATCATCATCCGCCTGACAACAACAATAACAAAACACAATGTCGAGTTATCCACCTGCAAGCTACCGCAGGCACACCGGCTGGTGGAACCCACTTATTTACACCCGCATACAGCACATCATACGTATCACATCACATCACATATCCGCATTCGCATGCATATGCTCATCACAGCCACCCGAAAGATCTACTCCATCTACCTTCTTTGATGAACGATTGAAGTCCGGCCCCGGGGCCTGACCCTAATCCGCGCCATGCGTCGATCCGAGTCTCTGTTGTGGTGGTTGCGGTACATTTCCTCCGCCTCCAACAGCTAAGTTAGCTGCCACCCATCAATAGCGATGAGCTGGCCAAGATCAACGAG